CACGACGATGCTCTGGGGTGGACAAGTGGGTTCCAGGTCCCATTGGGGGGACATTTTTAGCACTTGTGCAAGGCTGATCTAACAGGAGCTTTAATGGGTCCCACGGAGCCCCGGGCAATTAAGGAGGGAGACGAGACTGGCACGTTAAGGAGGAGAGGAGAGTTACCAGGGAGGAGGGAGGAAACAAAGGAACGGGAATTTTGCACCTGCCGATGCCTGTGTTTGCACGAGAGGCCCTAAAGCACCTGGAAAACAATTCCTGAAGCCCCAGGAATACACGCGAGGGTGGGAAGCAGGGGAGGATAAAGAAAAGCCCCTAAAAGTTAGGGCAATGGCAGTGCAAGAAGAAAGGCTGGCCCGGGCACAGAGCACCGCCAAGGCCTCCGTGGTCCGGGAGCTCCCGCGTTTGTCACTGATTTAACCCGGGTTAAACGGAGGGTTCCCGTTGGAGGACACGGATGCGGCGGAGCCCGCGGCCGCAGGGAATTCCTGCAGGGATTCCTGTGTGCTCAGCTCCTGGCTCTCCCGCGCGATGCTCCCGGCCTCCTGGACTCCCTCACGTCCAGATACGGTAAAAAGGAGAAAAAGCCACAGAGGAGTTAGCTACCCTGATGGCAAGAGAAGGGAAATGCACTGTTTTAGTGAAAATTTGGGGAGTAGGGGGAGCAAAATTGAGTTTAGCATTACACAAGCTCAGTTTCCTCCTTGGGGACCACAGGCAGCTTCAGTTAACTGCTAACCCACAGTCCCCTGGCGACACCAAACTTACTCCAAGCGATGCACAACAAGGATTGCTCGAGTAATTTTTTGCTCAGATTCCTGCAAGACAATTTGAGCTGCAGAAAGGATCGAGCGCAGCACTGGAGACCAAAGGTCCCTCTCTGGAGGTCCCAAAAACCCAAGCTCAAACGTGGCACCCTGTGCTAGAATGGGTACAAATGCTCTTTCTTTCTCCACCGTGCAACAGCCCGAGCAGAACCGGGCCGGGTCTCACCTCTCTGCTGTCAGAGCAGATGATGGGCAGGAAAAGATAATTGTGCACAAGCTGCTGATTGCACACAAACAGCCAAAAAGGGCCACGCGCTTTTCCATTTACACCCAAAAGCCAAGACTTTCTGCCTGTCCGTCTCGTCCTCCCATCCCAGGTCATAGGAGAGGGACTGCAGGAAACCTGCACCTCTCCGGGAATATTTCCATTTCAAGCCACAGGCAGAAGTGATTTCCCCTATTTCCATCTACGCTGAACCTTCGCTATTCAGTTTTCTCTTGCCATATAAAAACACGAGGTCTAAAAACACAGATCCGTGCGGATCTAGGATAAGGAACAGGCCTTGCCTCCCCACCTGCTAGCAGAGAGCCAGGGCAGAGACCGGCAGGCTCCGAATCGACGTAGAAGGAAGGGGACAAACTCACCTTGCGGTGCCAAAAAGCAGCGTCACCCATCACGGGGACAGCACCCAACATTCCCAGAAAACCTCCCGCATTTCCAAGCAGCACCATCCTGCTCCCCAAGGCTCCAGGAAATACTCACCAGCACCTCGAAGAGCAGGGACAGCAACTTGCTGTTTGCCATGAAGGTGCTGTCCAGGACGCCCAGGTTGAACCAGCTCCCCAAGCAGCGGAAGATTTTGATGAGCATCTTCTCGTCGTTGCCCGCCTTCTCCACGCACGTCATCTGCAGCAGGACAAGGGAAAAGTGCTTAGGAGCTTTATATTTTTAGCTTTTATATTTTTAGCTTTTATATTTTTAGCTTTAGCTTTTATATTTTTATATTTTATATTTTTAGCTTTAGCTTTTATATTTTTATATTCTTAGCTTTAGCTTTTATACTTTACATATTTCCCTCCCTATTTATACGTTACATATTTCCCTCCCTATTTATACTTTACATACTTCCCTCCCTATTTATACTTTACATACTTCCCTCTCTATTTATACGCTTTATCCTGGAGGTTGATCTTGAACTTTATCACGGTTTCTGTGACAAATTTATATATTTTCTGATTTAAACCTCTTTGTAACCCAAAGGAGATTCAACATTTGAGTCCTATGCAGGTAATTGAGTTTTGCTCTTCAGGCAGCTGGTGTCAAACGCTGGAGCTGGCCAGGAAAGCTCTGGGCACACGTGGAGGAAGCGGGACCGGAGTTTTGCGGATGCAGAGGATACCGGGATAGGGAAAATGGGCAGGGATCTGCTCCCAGCAGCCCCAGCCACACACGGGGTGCGAGTGGCCACCGGGCTGTCCCCAGGGCTCGGCCCCTTCAGAGCTCAATCCCTTCCGAGCTTGGCACCTTCCGAGCTCAGCCCTTTGGAGCTGGGTCCCTTCCAGGATTGGTCCCTTCGGAGCTGGGTCCCTTCCGAACTTGGTCCCTTTGGAGCTCGATCTCTTCTGAACCTGGTCCCTTTGGAGCTCGATCCCTTCCAGGATTGGCCCTTCCGAGCTCGATCCCTTCCAGGATTGGTCCCTTTGGAGCTCGATCCCTTCCAGGATTGGTCCCTTTGGCGCTCGATCCCTTCCAGGATTGGTCCCTTTGGAGCTCGATCCCTTCCAGGATTGGTACCTTTGGCACTCGGTCCCTTCCAGGATTGGACCCTTTGGAGCTCGATCCCTTCTAGGATTGATCCCTTTGGAGCTCGGTCCTTTCCAGGATTGGTCCCTTTGGCGCTGCATACCTTCCAGGATTGGTCCCTTTGGAGCTCGATCCCTTCCAGGATTGGTCCCTTTGGAGCTCAGTCCCTTCCAGGATTGGTCCCTTTGGAGCTCGATCCCTTCCAGGATTGGTCCCTTTGGCGCTCGATCCCTTCCAGGATTGGCCCTTCCGAGCTCGATCCCTTCTAGGATTGGTCCCTTTGGAGCTCAGTCCCGTCCGAGCTTGGACCCTTTGGAGCTCGGTCCCTTCTGGGATTGGCCCTTTGAAGCTTGATCTCTTCCGGGATTGGTCCCTTTGGAGCTTGGCCCCTTCCAAGCTCAATCCCTTTGGAGCGCAGGGATTTCCTTTCCGCCGCGGGCCGTGGCTGAGCTGGCTGCGCCCCTTCCCAATCCGACGATCCCACCTGCCTACGGGCCGGCAGCCGCGCTCCTGCCGAGCTTCCCGGGAACGCGCTGCGCCGGGAAAGGCAGCAGGGAGCGTTCGGGAAGACGAGGAGCCGGCTCATCCCACACGTGCTGCCGCGTGAGGAGGAGCGGGCACGGGCAGCAACAGGAATCCCAGCACCCCTGCGCTCACAGGGCAGTACGGGGAACGGAACGGGCTGAATTCGGGCAGGGCTACGAGGATGATGAGGGGCCTGGAACATCTGCCCCATGAGGAGAGGCTGAGGGAGCTGGGCCTGTTCAGCTGGAGAAGAGAAGGCTGAGAGGGGACCTGAGCAGTGTCTAGAAGTACCTCAAGGGAGGCAGTGAGGAGGATGGGGCGGCCTCTTTTCACTGGTGGCCACCGACAGAACTAGAGGAAACGGCCAGAAACTGAAACACCAAAAGTTCCACAGGAACTTAAGGAAAAATTTCTTGCCAGTGAGGGTGCCAGAGCCCTGGAACAGGCTGCCCAGAGAGGTTGTGGAGTCTCCTTCTCTGGAGATCTTCAAACCCACTTGGACGCAGTCCTGTGCCACGTGCTCTAGGTGACCCTGTGTGTGCAGGGGTTGGACTGGGTGATCCCTAGAGGTCCCTTCCAACCCTAAGCATTCTATGATTCTATGATTATTACTCATATAACCCAGAGCTGTGCAGGAATTCAGCCCAAGCCCATTGCCGGGCTGGCAGACGGGCGCTCCGTGTCACACGCAGCGGTGACACGATCCGCACGCGGCGGGCTGGTCGAGAGGATGAGAAAGTCATCAGGTTCCCTTAACGAGCTCCGCTTTCAGGCCAGCACCGACAATAGAAACCTGACTGTGATTCTGATTAATCTGTTTGGAAGGGCACTATAAAAGCAGCTTGTTTCACCCAGGCTTCCTGCCAGCTGCCAGACAGCTTTGTGCTCATGCCAGGCCTGGAATAACCTGGGATAAGGAGGGGGAACGAGCGACGGCGTGAAGGCGCCCCGTGGTTCAGGGGCGCTCGGTGACACGGTGACACGTCCCCTTACCAGCAGGGACACGACCGTGCTGGAATAATAAGCCAGATCCTCGATGATCTCCGTGCGGCGGTTGGCTCCGATGCGCAGGGATCGGCTGTGAACCTCCTCGGGCAGCACCGTGAGGATCTCCAGCAGGAAGGGCAGCGAGGTGACATCGTTGCTGTACCTGGAACGGAGGAGGGGACAAGGCAGGGCTGCGGGGGACAGCTACGCACACGCCAACAAAGCAAAATAAATCACACAGCTGGAATTGGAGGAGTTATTCCAAACACGCGTGTGCGGGCAGAGCTTTGATGGGATGTGTCCAATTCGGCGGTAAAGCTCAAGATTTTTGATAAGCAGCTTGAGAAAAACAGGCAAAGTTTTGCTTTCCTACAAGCAAAGCAGATCCAGCTGCCAATGTGCAGACGAACTAAATCCTTCCCGCTCCAACAAGGCCGTGGGACCTCAGTGGGAGGGGATGAGGGATCATCAAGGAATAAAAACAGGAGACACAGAAACACTCCCCCCGAGCAGGTCGGGGTTTTTGGCACAAGCAGGTACTCACTTTTCCACCAGTGTCTGTACGCAGCCCTTCCAGGAGGCCATTTGCAGGGCAAGGTCTGCTATTGCTAGAGCGAGCTGCAAGGGGACAGGAGAGAACAGGAGATCAGAGAGGAGCCGCTGCCCAAACCCAGGGCTGCCCGCGGGGAAAGGGGCCACCCCTGGCCCAACCTGGGGGGCACCAAATGGGAACGAGTCCTCGTGTCCCCCTCTGCCACCGCAGCCCGGTGCCCTGTTCTCCCAGCCACAAATAGTGTAGGGAGGATGGGGCCAAACTCTTGTGGGTGGTGGCCAGGGACAGGACAAGGGCTCATGGGTGCAAGTTGAAGCCCAGGCAGCTCCATGTCCATGTGAGGAAGAACTTCCTTGGTGTGAGGGTGCCAGAGCCCTGGCACAGGCTGCCCAGAGAGGCTGTGGAGGCTCCTTCTCTGGAGATGTCCAACCCGCCTGGATGCCACCCTGTGCCCCGTGCTCTGGGTGTCCCTGCTGGAGCAGGGGCTGCACTGGGTGATCCCTAGATCCCTTCCAACCTCAACCATTCCGGGATTCCGGGAGAAGACGTTTCAAGGTGGCTGCCAGGAATATCATGGATTCCTCCCTTCAGTGTCTTACCTGTTCACAAACATTATGAGCTTGGCTGTGGGTTTGGGGGGGAATTGTGGGAATCCCTTGGGATGGGCGGATGGGCTCCTACCTGCGTGACGATGACGGGGGACAGGTCCTTCAAGTTCTGGATGTGGGAGAGCAGGGAGTCCCGCAGCGACGCGTGCGAGTCCGTGGGCAGTTCGTAGAACGACGTCTGGATCTTCATCTTCATGGTCTGCGCCGCGAAGTAGCAGGATTCCACATCCTGCCGGATCTGCAGGAGCTGGTCCGAGATCTCCCACGCGTGCACCTAGGGACGGCCGCGGCGTCAGCAGCGCGCGGGGACAAACCCGGCGGGTTCCAGCATCCAGGAGGGTTTTCCCTGCGGGACACCCGTGTCCCCCGCCGCTTCCCTAGGGAAGATCCCGCTCCGTGCCCGGGAACAGGGCAGGGACCTTCCGAGGCCTTTGGGTGCCACCGAGCCCAAGTGCCACCGCGGGAGACGCGGAAATGCCCCTTCCCTTCCCCATTTCCTCAGGAGGGCTGGGAATCTCCCCCGAGAGCTTTCCCGCTCCCCAGCTCGATCCGTGTCCTGGGCCTGCGGACACAGGGCTGGATTCATCCCGAGCTTCTCCCACGGACGCCGGGAAGAGGAGCGGCAGAGCGCGGGGAGCTCCGAGTCCCGCACGCGGCGCCTGGATCTTCCCAATCCGCCCCTTCTCTCCAAGCACAACCACCAGAGCAAAACCAGTATCCAAGGGCTGCTTCCGATAGACTGGAAGAACCTCCAAATTCCTTCCTCTGCTCCAGGAGTGCGTCCACGTGGGCAATTCCGCCTTTTTTCCAGCGGCTGGAGCTGCCTTCACCCCTCTCCGAGGGGAGCTACGCGCTGCAGTTCCTTCCCTTGCTTCCCTAAACACTCCAGGGCTTCCCGGGAATCAGCCCAGCGCTCCCAATCCCTGCTCATCCCTCATGGCACCTTGGGACCGATTTCGCTGCATCCGAACGCAGAAGAGTCGCCCATTCCGAGCGCCAAAGGGTACCCAAGGATGCAGCCTTGATCCCAATGAAAAACGGGCCGATTCCTTCCGATTTGAGCAACGTTTGGAGGAGCCCCTTGTGCTTTGGGTCGCGCCGCAGGTCCCGGGATAGCGGGTGGGAAAAGCCGCTCCGGAGCCATCGCTGGGGACGTTTGGGATGAGGCCAGGAGGAGCCGCCTCCTCCGGGACAAGGTGCTGGGCTCCGGTGTGGATTTTAAAGCTATTAATCCATTAAATCAACTACGGCCAATGCCGGAACACGCAACTCCCATTGGAGATGGATTAGGGATGACGTTGCCGTTGTTTTACAAGGGGATTTTTGCATTAAAAAGAGGTGGGTTTCCAATAAACACCAAAACTACACCAAGACTCCCAGGGAATTCCTCACCCCTGAGGCCCTACAAGCAAACAAGTCCTTGGGTCCATTCATCACAACAGCGACGGGCTCCAAGTTCCACTTTCCCTAGGAACTACAAAGAATTTTCCATTTTCTTTGGCTATCTTATGCAAAAAACTTGTATTTTTGATGTGAAAATTGAAAAAAAGAGCTGAAATTCTCATTAATTTCTGCAGATCTTTGTCCGGATGCCCCCAGCTGTTAGAGACAGACATAAAACAACAGCGAGCGCTCGAACCTGGCATCAAACACAGCCTGACATTTAACACGGGGTGAAACACGAGTTGGGTGTTTGCAGGAGGGCAACAACAGGAGCCCTGGCTGCAAACAGGGCGAGCGCGGGGTCCTCGTCGCGCCGGCACGCGGAAAAAACGGGATTTCACGGCTTTTTGCAAAGAAACGGTGGGTTTAGGGACAGCTCCAAGCGTTAGAACACTGGAAAATCATAATTGAAACCATTCGCACAAAAAAAAAATAATAATAATCATATGGGTTTCTCCTCATTTTAGGGTTTGCTTGGTGCAGTTTGGGCACGCTGCATGAGGAAAGGAGCCGGTTTCACCATCCCGGCCATCCGAAGGGATGATCCCGTCCTGGAGGGCAGGAGCCTCCTTTCGGAACTTGGAAATTAAGGAATTTGGTGCGCTTCAATACAGCTGGGAAACTGAGGAATTCGGTACGCTTCAATATAGCTTGGAAACTAAGGAATTTGGGGCTCTTCAATGTAGCCTGGAAACTAAAGGAATTTGGTGTGCTCCAATACAGCTGGGAAACTAAGGAATTGGGTGTGCTTCAATATAGCTTGGAAACCAAGGAATTTGGGGCGCTTCAATGTAGCTTGAAAACTAAGGAATTCAGTGCGCTTCGATGTAGCCTGGAAACTAAGGAATTTGGGGCGCTTCAATGTAGCCTGGAAACTAAGGAATTTGGGGTGCTTCACCTGGAGGGCAGGAGCCTCCTTTCGGAACTTGGAAATTAAGGAATTTGGTGCGCGTCAATACAGCTGGGAAACGAAGGAATTTGGGACGCTTCAATGTAGCTTGGAAACTGAGAAATTTGGTGCTCTTCAATATAGCTTGGAATCTAAGGAATTTGATGCGTTTCAATATAGTTTTCCCATACTAAGGTGCAAGATATCCGGCGCGTTCCCTCGGGAAGGGAGCCCGTACTTCCCTGCCCAGAGGCCTGGAAGGAAAACCGGGATGGGGACAACGCGGGATCTATCCCGAGTGTTTCGGGAGCACCTACAGGGATGCAAAGCGGGTTCCTAAGGAGAATTCCAGGCCCACGGGTTTGGGGAAGAGCCTCAAATCCCGGCGCGGAGGCGATGGGATCCCGGCGGCCGGAGAGATGGAGCGGGCGCAGCGGGATACGAGAGTTAAAGCTGGTCCCTTGTGTGCCCATAGACAAAAAAAAAGACCCTGGACATGCAGAAAGGGCTGCCAGCCGAGGGAATATCCCAAAAAAACGCAAAACGTCACCAGAAACAGGCAAGTTCGCCCAAATTTAACCTGGAAACGTGAATGGCAGCGATGGCCTCGTGACCACCAGGTCAGGGGAAAAAGCCCACAGGAGTTTGACTCTGCTCCCTGCAATCCAAAGCCTCCAGCAATCGGGAAATGTCTCTGGAAAAACCGGCTTTGGGGGAAAAAAGAGGAGTTTTTGCTCCAGGCAAATGCCCCTCGGTCGCCCCGGCAGTCCCACAAATCCCTAACAAATCCACTTAGAGCAGGAAAACCGTCAAATCGCAGCAAAAGTGAAGTGGAAGCAGCAGCTGGAGGGGGAAACGGGGCTGCTCGTTCCCGTTTTAATTAGGGGCTTGGTTTCCACTCCGCGTTATCGTTAAGTTAATCTCAGGGCCGGATCAAAGACAATCAGCGGAGTTAGTCACTTATACGGAACCTACCTGGCTCCAAACCACATAAAATTCCTGTCTTTTAGGGAGTGCTTTGCAAAGCAACG